TATGCCAAGAATTCAGTAAGTTGTTTTGATATTTTACTTTAAGTGAACTATTCAGCGTTGAATTATATGTGCAGATAGCAGAGCATTTCAATAGATTTGAAACAAGATAATGCGATGGACCTACGACGAAAACATTCTGAGAATAAAACACATAATAAATGATATTTTAAAATTAGAAATATAAAGACAAGTTGAAGTTGTCGTATATTTTAAAGCTCAGATGTTTTCTGTAAGCAAAGTAATTTTAAATTTGTATCAACAGTACCTAAGCAGCTTAAATTGTATTTAGTACGTAAAAAATATGTCGATCAGTCTAGTTTTTCTGTGCATTCTATAGAATATCTATATTTGACAATAATAATTCTATATAGCGTCAATGGTTTAATTCGATCATATTTTTCACCTGGATTTCCGGTTCCGGTTGTTATAAACATCACAGTGCCGACGCTCCGAAAAATCAACTATAAATAAATAGAAAAACGCTACAGTTTCACATTCTTTTTTTTCACCTTTATTTTGGATTAAGAAGAAATAACAATAATCAATATCACATGATCGTTGAATTAATATTATTAAATATATCGAAAACTATACACTATCCGTATCAAACAGCGAGAGAATTCGTCATTTTCTTTCGTTATACCGCCGAAACTGTCTTGTTTTTCCAGAGTATAAATTATCTTCAAAGTAGGTATAGATGACAATAGACGTAATTCTATAGTAAAGATTGTATAAAAAATTAAGTAAATTCAATGCTATAAATTGTGATTTTAAGTTTGACAGATTTTCATATTTTTATGAGACTCAAATATTAAGATAAAAATACATATTATCGTGTACATTAATATCTATCAATGATTTTTTTTTAAATTTCTTACAACTTATAGACCGTTTTCTCGTCAGACACAGTACACAATAACATACAACACATATACATCTAAATATATTAGGAATTAGGTCAATAAATTGACAAAATGTAATTTAAATAAAATAATTACAAACAATTTTTTATATAAAGCACTATAGGAGTACGTAATATATTGTTGCCTATTTACGAGTGGTGAAAGTTTTTAAGCACAATAACACGTCTGAATCATCTAAGGATAAAATTGTCAAGATACCAGATTTCAATCCGTTAAAAAGATAAATATTTGTATGTTGCAGTGCGAGAGAAAGAAAAATATATCGTGAATAGTTTTCCGAACGATCAGTAGGTACAATTTGAAGTTAAATGTATCTAGATATGAAAAAGTGACAAGAATACTAGTGATAATGGACATAGTACTGACTAAGCTGTTACTAAACGAATACCGTTAAATTTATAAGAGATTAGCATTGCCCGCGGCTCCGCCCGCGTTCAGATGACCAAAAACCAAATTCTTAGGTTTTACATATTAGTATACTCTTACATTGCAGTTTTTGTATTTTTTCTCAGAAATGAGACATTTTCCTGCAGTAAATAGTATCCTATATGTTGACCCGGATAACCAGCTATCACCATACCAAATTTCATCAAAATCCCATCAGTGGTTTTTCTGTGATGCGATAACAGACAGACAGACAGACAGACACACAGACAGACAAAAATTCTAAAAACTATAGATTCGGCCTCTGTATCGATAGTAATGTCTATTTCAATAAGATTTTCCAAAAAATATTTAATGTACAGATTCGGCTTAGTTACAATCTATATATATAAAAGAAAGTCGTGTTAGTTACTTCGCTTATAACTCAAGAACGGCTGAACCGATTTAGCTGAAAATTGGCAGGGAGGTAGTTTAGAGCCAGGAGAAGGACATAGGATACTTTTTATCCCGTTCGACCGCGTTCCAATTTTTATGATATTTTAATTTTTGGATTTCTCTTAGTCCGGAATAGGTAAGTATTAAAACATATAATTAAAATGTGAGAAAGAAAGATTTTTTCTTTTTATATCTATTTAAAACGTACCTAGCGACGAACCCGAGCGAAGCGAGGGTGAGCCGCTAGTTTTATTATATGTATAGACTTGTATACGTTATATTTACATAGCAATAAAATATCTATATTGCTATTGACCAGCTTTAACTTTCGACCCTAAAGCACGTAACAATATTTATATGAATCAATAAAAGTCCACTTTCTAACAAGTTTTCATTATGATCACTGTTGATTCTAATTACGAGTTGTGTTATTATTATAAAGTTAAAAAATATCGAAATAACTAAGCATGAATATCAAATAATTGTGAAAATAAGTTTGCGCTCTACACCCTATATAATAATAATAATAATAAATTTTATTTCAAGTAACTTAGACTCATATTTTGTTAGTATACAAAGTGCTTATATTCTATGTAGCACTTACATTCTAGATTCATTTTAGATACATATACTTTTATATTCACATATATATATATATATATATATATATATATATATATATATATACATTACTAACAAGAAATAGCACAGCAGTGATTAACATATCTACAATCCAACCTACTGGCAATCACCCTCATGATGCTGTTGGTACTACCCCGTAATCTATTCACCAGGGATCCACATCTTTTGCGCATATGCGCATGCGCATCATTGGCATAGAAACAATATATATTATAAACTATTATAAAGTAAACAAAAAACATACAGACAGGTATGAAGTATAATTCTTGAATCACTCCGAACATTTCAATTATACAAGTGTAGCTAATGGGTAATGGAAGGGGGAACAATAAATAACAGGATTTAGTAATTGACGTTTGATATATACCATTATAAAGTTTTTATGTTACTATAAATAAATAAATAAATAAAACTATTTTTTCGTATTATTTCGCGGATTTATTTTGATTTTTGGTTCCCGACGTTTCGAATGCTTTACAGCAATCATGGTCACGGGAGAGACTAAGGTTTTTATTTAAAATGTCAAATATTCGCGTAAATCTAAGGAAGTATTAACTTAAGTAAATATGCAGATACTAAAACCATATTTTAACAGCCAAGACTTAAACTTGTCATTATAATAGTAAAAATATTAACTGCACGCTAAGACAAGAACGGGTTGCCATTATTTATATTTATGTAATCTAACTGGCATAAAAATGTCGTCAATGTATAAGGTAGTGCGCAAGAGCATATCCTTTTATGTATGTATTGATTACGATTAGATCATCAATTATAATATTAAGTATCCACTTAAGTGTACTTGTGGATTCTTACATATGGTGGTTGCATTACATAACTCTATATAGACTCTACTCACTCATCTCAGAAATTTACCTACATAACATCCTAATATAGACAAGACAAGATAGACCGTCTTGTACGTAGAGAATCTTTGTAATCGATATGTTTATAATATGAATAAATGAATTCGATCAAAAATAATTAATCAATACAAAAAACAAATGACTGATTATGTAAAATATAGGATCTTTTTTTATAAAGTATACTTAAAAAGTAAAAACTAATTTATGAATAATTTTAAATATTTACAAATTTATGTTATCAAGAAAACACAGCTTGGTTTTGTACATCGAATCCATACTAATATTATAAATGTAAAAGTGTGTTTGTTTGTTTGTTTGTTTGTTTGTTTGTTTGTCTGTCTATCCTTCTTTCACGTTGAAACGGCATAGCGGGTTGCTGTGATTTTTTGTGTAGAGATAGTGGGTGGGCTGGAGATTGACATATGCTACTTTTTACCGCGGGAGATTATCTCTTTCCCACGGGAAGGTTACAGGTTATAATACAATCCAAAAAAATATTTATGATCAGAATTACTTGAAACTTGGTGTTAATAGTCTTCAATACAATTAATTCAATACGTATTTTAGCATTTTTCGAAATTCAAGCCATAAAGTGGTAAAATAGCGGATGAAAGTTTGTATGAAACCTACCATTTTAGAGTTGTTTTGTAGTTTTAGCGCGAGCGAAGCCGCGGGTTGTGCTAGTTATATCATAAATTATTAATATATTCGTCGTGGTTGTACAGCTCTAATATGGCTATTGGGAACATTACCTTAATAATCAGTCAATTAGCTGATTCAGCACTTGACCTCTATGAAAGATGCAGCTGTCAAACTCGTGTTTAGAAACATGATTGCTCAAGGGAGTCATTGCACTCGATCGCTATCAATGTATTTCATTGTTTACATTTATGACGTGAAAAATATTTTGTTTCTATTTAAGTTTTATTTACATGCACGTTTTACTATGATATCAGACTATTTTTACTATTAAATAAATAAATTTAATATATTAAAATTATTATTAAAATAATATAAAAATTATTGTTATTAAATAAATATAATTTAAAAGTACGATTTCGTGTGGATGATTGTAAAATAACCTTTGTCAGAAATTTTTGAAATCTTCCAAAAAAAAATGAAAAAATTATTAAGTAACTGAGGTAAGTAATTAACTTTTTTCTATTGAATCTAATTTTTTAATAACAAAAATACGTTTTAGAAATATAAGATATATTAATAGGAAAAAATGAAGTTTAGTTTATTATATTAAGATATTATAAGTAACAAGCCTTTATTAAAAATCTTCGCAAGAGATCGCCCGATGGAGTGTCGGGGCGCATGTCCGAAGTGGAAACTGAGACGTATTCAGGTCCTTTTGTTGTGGCTGGTTGGTTTCCACTGCATTATTATTGCTCTTTTTGCTTTTCATCGCATTGTACTCTTTAATTTGTGTTGCAAATATTACGTCTTTTACTGTACTATAATTTTTTGCTCGTTATATATACGAGTTTTTCGTAATAATGAATTGTAATGTATTGTATTTTAATTGAAATATATTGCTTGAGTTTTATAACATTCAAATATAATAGTTGTTAATATAAAGTTTATTGTCATCATGAATTTTTAAGATCGGAAATATTTCAAGAATTTTATTCGATAAGAAGTATGAGTATAAGAAATAGATGAGTAAAGTAAGTTTGGACAATAAAGTGTAAGTTTTAAAAAACAAACTAGCTATATCTTAACTAATTTTTTTTATATTCTTCCAATGTTCAAAGTTATTGCGTGTGACCTCAAGCAAATGTTCAAACTTAAGGTTATTGTATCCTTGAAACGTAAAGGCCGAAAATCACAACCATGCAATGTATTATAAACTTAATAAGTTGATTTTATGCAAAGTAACTTAATTTTAAAAAGCATTTAATCATTTCTAATTTAATTAATTAAATCTACAAGAACAAGATCTACGCGAGAGCAGAGACAAGGGTTCGTTTAAACGCCCGTTATGTAACACCATCTAGAGCGTCGTCAAGAACTAGCTAGCTGTAAAAGGAAAACAGAGCTGTTTACTTATTCGAATGAATTAATGAAGCGGCAATTTTTTGCAAGTAAAGCTATAAATCGTATGAACTAACCAATAGAGCATGAGAACAGTCGAGAGTGGAACACACGGTGATTACGATCACTGAAGCCGTCGAAGAGCAGCTACAGCAGACGCGGCAACTCCCGCGGTCCGCGGTCGCGGTACGAGCTACATGGGAGGGAACGGGTGAGGGATGGCCAGGAAGGACTCGGATACGTTACCTAGTAGTGCGTGGGCGTGGGGCGAGGGTGAGTAGTCGCGCGGGTGGCGGGCGCGGTCGCTCGTGCGGTCAGCGGTCGCGCGGCGCGGCCATGGCGCGCGGCAGGCGGCGGCGACTCGCGCACTGCCGGCCGGCCGCCGCCGCCGCGCCCCGCCCGCCCCCCGCGCATGCGCCCTCCCCGCCCCACGCGCCGCCCGCCCAGAGCGAATTGATCAACGTTTCTCGATTGCGATGAAATTTATTATTCGCAGATCTATTATCGACGAATCCATACACGCGTTCGTCTATATTGTTAAAGTAACACGTCGTAAACCAAAAGTAACATTCGCGCAGTAATGTTCCTACCATAACTATAAAACGTAAAACAATGCGTACGTAAAGTACAAAAACTCTACCCACAGACTACGAGATATCTTACGGCTAAATGCTTGTACCTATTTATCCTTGGCTAGGTGGTATTGATTTCTTTGTTACCTTATTTATTCACTTCAAGTCTAGTCCGATCGTCGCGATAAAGAAAATTGAATACATCTAAACCTGTATCAATCAAACACTAACAACATATCTTATTTACACGCACTGTCAGTGCCGTAGTTTACAAGTTTATCATACAATGTACATAGATTATATAATAGACAACAAAGAATAACAATAGTAACCATTTGCATTAATTAAATGCATTCATAGAGTTGTGATTTAAAAATTAATAGTGCTGAGAATTTGTAGTTCTTATTCTGCTGATTATAGAGGCCATATTCGAATGGACCATTTTTGTATGAACATCCTGTGGCTTTCATTTCTGTATGACAATAGGTTTATTATATGATTCTTAATTATCCTTCCGTTCTAGAAAATATATACAATTTTAAATCCTCTAAAATTGTACAGCAACGAGCGATGGTAAATCTTTATTGTATATACCTATTAGTTATGTACTTACTTTAAATACTTACTTTAAACTTTAATCAAGGCATTTCATTTTTTTTAAGACTCAATAACGAAAGTTTATTTATTTCCAAACTTTTTAAAAGCTCATTTTCATTTCAATAGAGTAATGAATAAACATAATTTAATTTTTAGCTGTACATTACATGAGTATTACACATAATAAAAAGTTAAGTTAGGTATATATATATATATTATATATATTATATATATATATATATATATATATATATATATATACCTTTTCATAGAATAATTACCTTACAAGTGAATAAATTAGAAATGTAAAATTAAAATATGAAAAAAATCGGACATGTGGCACTCTGACTTGCCACGGACACCGATGGTTCCGTAAGCATTAAATATGTTATTATTTATGTTTTGTTTTAATATAGTACTATTTTATTAAGTCTAAAGTAAAAAAAAATTAAACAATCTACGATATCCATTTTATTGACGGCTCTACTTCATAGTATTACGATGACCAACGAAGGAAATTTTGCTGACGGACGCGTGAAACCGAAAATGTCGTACATATCAGTACTACCACAGATCATATAATACTATACTGTACTACTCAAAGTATTTTCTACAAAATGGTAGGATAATAATAATAATAATTATAATACAAAACATTTTTGACATTCTAAAATTCTTTTCATCAATCGTAATTAAAAAGGAGATCCTTATAAATTTCATCGAACAAAAACATTTTAAAAATAATTCTCGTAATTTATCGATTAAATATATTAACTTCATATATCATCCTGAAATAAACAAAATTTCCATTTAATTTTTCCATACATATCGTGTTCAAAAATATTTTTGCGATAATAATATCAACAAAATCAAATCCAGCTAGCAATACATCTTTGACGACTTCATGTCATTTCATAAAAATTAAATTGAGACATCTATGATTATTTTAATCTTTTGAGCATCTTGCATACGAGTATATCATATCATAATGATTCATGATTATCAAAAAGTAAATCTTCTGTAAAACAACCCGTATATGCATCATTTCAAATGGCCGCTGTCATCTATCTTTGCCCTGTTCTTCGGGTATCATACCACTTCTGATGTCGTGTTATCCATACACTACGAACATCATCTTTGGTGGTTACTCATCTTGTGGGCGTTATCAGGGCTCAAATAATAAAGTATTCAGTGCTCAATACACAATTTAATCAGGGAAGTCACAATGTTATAAACTTGAAACGGTAATTCTAATGATTTAGAGCTAGCGGGTTCACAGTCACCGATCATCGACTTCCAACTACAATATCAAACATAACTGATTCACCATGATATGATAACCAACGTTACTAAGCCACGTATCTCCAAAGAATGTCGTGATGGCGTCTCGACCCCGCTCGAGACTAAATCTCTGCTCTTAATTCAAAATAAGCAATAAAAATAAATTAAACATACACATAACAACAACATAGTGACTTTAAACAATAATAAGGTTTCATAACAGAAAATGGTAACTAAATCCTCCTCCGTCTTATATATATACCTTTTCATAGAATAATTAGGTTAAAAAAACAACTTATCGTTAAAAAGTATACAAGTATGAAGGAACTCATGAATAATTCCATGATGCCTTACAAGTGAATAAATTAGAAATGTAAAATTAAAATATGAAAAAAATCGGACATGTGGCACTCTGACTTGCCACGGACACCGATGGTTCCGTAAGCATTAAATATGTTATTATTTATGTTTTGTTTTAATATAGTACTATTTTATTAAGTCTAAAGTAAAAAAAAATTAAACAATCTACGATATCCATTTTATTGACGGCTCTAGTTCATAGTATTACGATGACCAACGAAGGAAATTTTGCTGACGAACGCGTGAAACGGAAAATCTCGTACATATCAGTACTACCACAGATCATATAATACTATACTGTACTACTCAAAGTATTTTCTACAAAATAATTTAATTTTTGTTTCAACAAAGAACACTTAGAAACATTCATCTGTATTTTAAGGTCCCGTTCAGAGATACCCTACACATTTATAGGCATCTAAAAGAATAAAACATTGTCTAGATTACCATTTAGCTACGGAACCTAAAATATACATGAAGTAGCTTCCAGCTGTTTTCTATATTATATAGTTAAAAACGTTAGTATACAAAAAATCTTTTTTAAATACTTAGGTACAATTGACGTATACCACCATCTATTTTTAATGATCTTATAATGGTAAGAGGCCTAATGCCCGATTTCACCAACAACCCATAAGCTACCACCTACGTATGGGATCCCTAGCTTAAAAGTCCCCTAAACTAGCCCCTAAATTAAATTTCGTTTTGCGATCGTCTTTAAGCCCATATTTTGAGCACCTAAATTTAGGGGGCCTTTTAATATTTAGGTGACCCCTAACTGTCGGTGAAACAGAAACTGTCCCCTAACAGCCCCCTAACCATGCTTAGGGGATCCCTTAAACTTAGGTGACGTTGGTGAAATCGGGCATAAGTAAGCTATTGGTCAGGATTAAAAGATAATAGTATAATTATACGAGTAATCATACGAGAAGCAGACAGACAGTGTCTCTAAATGAAACTCAGCCAATTTTATTTTCTCCATTATCAATCATTTTCCATAAAAATCTAAACCGCTTTTGTTAGTAATGCTTATTCTAATATATTAGTTCTTCACAAAAACAAAATATTGGGCTATAATTATTAGATTAAAATAATAGAAAATATATTAATATTTTATTAACTATATCATCAATATAGTATAAACGATGTTTTTAAAAGACCAACTGTTAAGTTTCCGTCGGCACTTCATAGCAGAAAATAATGCCTTCCTAGGCCGTAGTACCTTTCACACGTACTTATATTACTCTCACATGTTTTTATTTAACGTAAAAATTGACGGTTCCATAGTGCTTATAAAAGTCGATTTGAATTTTGATTTTTGAAATATTATCCAAAAGCTGAATAGTGAATACAAAAGTCTATCGTAAATAACTCTCAAACTTAATTTTCATGCTCTAATTGCATTTGTTTATGGAGTTTAAACACGACACTAAACTTTTATAAATAAACTTGTAAGGTCTTTAATTATTTTATTATTCTTTGGGAATCGTTGATAGAATATTTAGACAGGTACAATTTTAAAATTAGTTGCAAAATATATTATAAGAAAAATAACCTGCTTTAGTGCAATGACTGCGTTCTAGCCTGGAGTAGTAGCTGGCGTGTACCTATGGCTAAATCGGGAAATAATATATTTTTTTTAGATTTACAAGAAAATTTGTCATTTTAAATAAAACTTTTGGGATTTTGTCGTGGTTTCATTTTGATAGTATTTTGGTGCCCGACGTTTGGAATGTTTTACAGCATAGGTACAGGTACATGAGAGACTAAGGTTTAAGTCTCAAATGTTATTATAATATTATAGTTGCTACTATACATCGAGAGCTAATTTTTAGTACATAACCAACAAAAATTAAATTTCTTATTTAAATTCATATCTCTACATATTAACAAGATATTTATTGCAAGGAGCAATGAGATCGTTTTTTTTTCCTGTTCTTATAAACAACGATATCAGCAAACTTTGTGAATTCATGTCCTTGGGGTTCAGAACATACACAGGATACAGTATTTAGATTGAAATAAAATTTTGAATATTTTGCCTTTATAAATATTTTCTTCAAGGGAAAACCTCACCCGCTGTGGGTTCGAGTTTTTACTAACACCTTAAACTGAAACATTATTGCAAGAAGCAATCTATTTACAATGTAAATTCGAATTATTACTCTATTGTAAAACATAAGTAAATTGTAGAAATATATAAGAAAGAGGATATGAATAAAAGGAAAGGGTAAGTTCAAATATTTTATGACGAATGATAGACGAATTGAGGAAGCATAGCTACGTAGTACATACTGTACCGACCACATTTATGTGAGATAAGGTCAAGATAATGAAGAAAAATTGAATATCTATTCATTTTCTAAAAATATTCTAATATTATAAAGAGGCAGTTTGTTTGTTTGTTTGTTTGTTTGTTTGTTAGAACGCGCTATTCTAAGGGACTACTAATCCGATTTGAAAATTCTTTTTGCATTAGAAGGCCAGTTTATTGAGGAAGGCTATAGGCTATGTATATATCATATAATATTATATAGTCTATCTATTCCATACTAATCGTTAAAACGTAGGTACCTAGGGACAAACCCGAGCGAAGCAACGGTGAGTCGCTAGTTCTATATATTTTAGTAAGACTAAGTACATAAAGGCAGTGGTAGTAGCCCAGTGGTAACGCGCTCGCTCGGGAAACCGAGTTAAGCAAGTTAAAATCCCGGGTCTCGCACCTCTGATATTTTCATGTGCGGATCATTTCCAACATGATTACCACTTGTCTTAACGGTGAAGGTAAGCATCGTGAGGAAACCTGCATGTCTGAAAGAACCTAGTAAGTTTTCAAAACACGTGAAGTCCGCCAACCCACAATCGGCCAGCGTGGTGGACTATGGCCTAAATTGTACTAAAGGAAGGCCCGTGCCAAACAGTGAGACGTTAAAAAGGGCTGAATACAAGTAGGTACATAAGTTGATTTAAATATATTTCAGTTATGCCGATGTATGGTTTTGAAATATCGAAAAAAATGATTTAAGGTATATTACAGGTGAGAATGTGAGTCTCGCAAGCCAACGCGTACGACACGCGATACCGCAGTTTCGCCATTCGTTAACTACCCACTTATGGACCTTATCGTACTATCATATCGGGCGCTGAGCGATTATCTACTGCGATAGATCACTCGGCTTTAGTAGAGAGAATATCTTAGAAATCACTAATAGATAAGGTAAATTAATTAAACTGAAGATTATACGATAATTAATTATATTTTATACCTAGTAGGATGTGGAAAATAAATTATGATTACCGAAAGGAATAAAGTATTTACTAGTTCAATTTTAGCACAGATCATATAATACTATACTAGTTGTAGTAAAAAGAATTTTATAGTTATCTGGAGACATTGTCTTGTGGCTTGTGATGGCCTTGCGTTTTATTTATTGCCTGAATTAATTAAAAAATGACTCTATTTGTTCTTCGCAAATAGTTAGTACCTACTAACGACCGTTACGTTACATAACTGATCTCTATACCTTGAAGTTATCTTATGTATGATTTGAAATTGAAAAAATATAAATATCGAACCTTAATTCATTTATTAATAAACTAGCATTGCCCGCGGGTCCGCCCGCGTTCAAATGACTAAAAACTAAATAAAATAGCGCTATTGTTTTTTTTTTCAAGATAAGCTATTTTTAATAGTTTTTACCTTATTTACTGAGTTACCTTGCTAAAACATATAATATATAGTATCATCGTGGTTTTATTCTAACCAGTTTTTGTATTTTTTCTTTGAAATGAGATATTTTCCCGCGGTAAAAAGTATCCTATATGTTGACCCGGATAACCAGTTATGACCATACAAAATTTCATCAAAATCCCTCCAGTAGTTTTTCTGTGATGCGGTAACAGACAGACAGACAAAAATTCTAAAAAGTATAGATTCGGCCTCTGTATCGATAATAATGTCTATTTCAATAAGATTTTCCAAAAAATATTTAATGTACAGATTCGACTTTGTTAGAATTTTATTATATGTATAGATTAAGTTCGTCTTCTTACTTTAAAGCGAACTTTATTAATAAAGCGCACCGAGGTTTCAAGCATATTATATTTAGTGGGTAACAAATATTCAATTTAAAGAAAACAAGGATATATAAATATTAAAAACTTTTTAATAAAAAAATAAAAACCGACTTAAAAAAAATTCTGGTTGGTAGTATTCATTTACTATAAGTAGATACCTACGTAATCTAATATTTTCGAAATCAATGCCAGCCGAAGTAAGTTTTGATGTTTTCCTATTTTGTGTAGACATAAGCCCAAACCCAAAGTATCTACTATTAGCCGTTGAAGAGTTCCACCTATCCACCTTCTGGCCTTACCATCGGATCAGGTCGACGATGTCCAACCACTGCACTACCAACGGAAAAAGAAACACTTGCAAAGTTTTAAGTCAATATGACAATGAGAAGTAGGTTAAATTTTCATTAGCTATTTCTCCACCCGTAGAGGTAGTATTTTTTTCAAATTTAAATGGGACCAAAAAAACATTAAAAAGTATGAAAATAACTGATTGGTAGTTTTCATCTATACAATAAAATTGTAACTAAGCCGAATCTGTACATTATTTTATTTTTTTTCAATTTAAATGGACCAAATTGGAAGTATACACTTTCAAACAAAACAAAATTGTCCAAATCGGTTAGTAAATGACGGAATTCTGAGGTAACAAACATAAAAAAATGCAACCGAATTGAGATCCTCCTCCTTTTCGAAGAAGTCGCTTGAAAAAAACGTTCCAAGTATATAAAAGTAAGTAGTAAACAATTCCAATACGATTTTTAACAATAGATATATCAATACCCAAGGAGAACGTATCGAGTTAATAAAAGTATTTTCCCAATGCAATTCTGCAGCTCAAAAATTCTATTCCGCTACTGCATAAAAGAAAGACAAACAAACAAATCACCAAACGTTTATAATAATGCTAAGGATAATGCCATAAAAATGCGCAATATCAAATGGCGTGTGGAACTCAACAATAATTGTAATCATGATGGACATAATAATTTATAGTATTTGCACCAGTGTGCTAGGGGGTTGGTTTATTTGGTCGATACAATCAAGTCGTTTGCTTCACGCTGCAATGCTGTAACACGATATATATTTTAGTTACTACTTGTTCCCCATGCGATGTTATCTTAGGCCGCTTTCACACTGATATCTTGATTTTTTCAGTGTTAAAGCTTTACCTATGTACTTCATTAAAAGTGAGATTCAATCTCGAAATTTTAGAGATACTAAACTAAAAACTTGAATAAATCTTCGTTTTTTTGGCCGATTTCATCAACGTCATCTAAGTTTAAGGGATCCCCTAAGCATGCTTTGGGAGCTGTTAGGGAATAGTTTCTGTTTCAACGACAGTTAGGGGTCACCTAAAAATTAAAAAAAAATTAAAATGCCGCCTAAATATAAGTAGCGGGCTCTGACTATGGTAAAACGAAATTTTAGGGGCTAGTTTAGGGGAATTTGTAAGATGTTAGTGAAATCGGGCATTTGTCTCATAAAAGAAGGCTTATCCAGTCTCATATTATATCGTAAGATAGCAAAAGTCAAAAGTCCGGAAAACCGATTAACTTGGGTGCGTTCTTGAGTATTTAATCAGCTCACGTTGATAATGTAACTCAAGCCTCAACGGCCATTTTTTCCAGACTTTAATTGAATCGCATGATGAAAATCACGGAGGTTTGGACTTGTCTTGGAGCGCATTACCGATGTGTTACCATAGCTATACACAATTATTTACTTCACTTTAAATACTCAATAACCCCTACGATTATATGAAGTTTGTGTGAAGACGTCTTAACAATATTTCGTGTCGTTTATTTTTTGATGAGATTAGTTTGTATCATTTTAGCTTTGTTTTATATAAGTTTTGTTTCGTAATTTCATAATATAATGAATGAAGTGGTATATTTTGATGTTAAATATACTATAACTATTTTAAATACTATAAAATAGAAAACTTGAATAGACAGACCAATAAACTTTTTAAAAATATATGTAGATATTCAAAAAACTAGAGCCAGACATGAATTTTATTTGATTCTATTGATCAAAATTTACAATTTGATCTCTGTTATATACAATTTCATAAACTTTATAAAAATACTAGCATTGCCCGCGACTCCGCCCGCGTTCAGATGACCAAAAACCAAATTCTTTGGTTTTACATATTAGTATACTCTTACATTGCAGTTTTTGTAGTTTTTCTCAAAAATGAGATTTTCCCGCGGTAAAAAGTATCCTATATGTCGACCCGGCTAACCAGCTATCACCATACCAAATTTCATCCAAATCCCTCCAGTGGTTTTTCTGTGATGCGGTAACAGATAGACAGACAGACAGACAAAAATTCTAAAAATATTGCTTATTACAATTTAAGATGAAGAGAAATTAGAATATTTCTAAATAAAACATAACACATTTTATTAAAACATAATATAATTGAAAAGAATAACATAAGAAACAAGGTATATAGAAAAGTACAATTAAAGTTGTAGTAATACAAAAAAAAAAATATTAGCCTAATAACAAGCTAATATAAGGAATGCTAATCAAACTTCCACCTATAATATCACATGGACAAAGAGAACTTAAGCCTAAATAACTAAATATGGTTTAATATTTCGATAATATACTTAAAATATAAATAAGAAACAGGGTTGCCAGGTTAAAACATCTGATGTTATTCCAAAAATGTTAAATACTATTTGTCTCTTAAGTACAATAAGCTCAAAAACTATTTTTGTCGATAACATTTATTTTGGTTATATAATTAAACAAGAAATTCAGCAACATTTAAGAGCAATTTAAAAAAATAATACATTAGCTATTATATAAATATATCACAATTTCTAACATATAATATATAATTTTAAATGGAAACGATCCATTTGTTAATTAATGTTAGAACAATTTAACGTGCATATATCTTAGATTAATTTTAGCTGACATCATACATAACAATAACCTGATATCATGTTTGATGTTTTTTCTTTTATTTGCAACTGGCAACCCATCATTACGTTTTAACGGGACTTATCAGATTTTATGTACTTGTCCAAATCGGCATCACTGGCCGGATCTACTTGAGACAGTTGACGAAAACTTTCGTCGTCAACGAAACAAATCTCATGATCATCTGGGTCCGCTAGAATGATAACCCTGACTGTAGCTTTACCGGGGGTGTCCAGTGATATGAGGGGTGTTAGGATCTTTTCTTTAGCTTCTTGAATCTTTTGGTCTATTATGGGCTGTTGGTCGAAGGGGCAAGAGAAAGCGATGCGGCCGTACGCCTTCGCATGGTTGACTGGCTCACCTGTAATAGGGAAAAAAGTCAGTATTATTAATAAAATTAAAAAAACGAAGACATAAAAAAATTATAAACACTATTTTACACTGTATATGCGGCAGCATCAAAAATCGCATTATAACATATCTTTGTTAAAAAAGTAACTACATCGTTCTATTAGCTTTTCCTTAAAAACAGATACACAGAAAAAAAAGTGACTCAGGTTCATTCTCAGAATGCCATCAGTATCAAAACATTTACGAAAATCAAATCAAAGTAGTAAATAGTTTAGGTCCGACACAAACGTAATGATAGATTATGATCTATTAGATTAGAGATAAGTATACTAGATGGCTGCAAACTTATTATTGACAAAAATAATACTATTAATTGATATGAATATTTGAACATTCTGCAGTTTATTTTAGTATTTTTTAAGTAAAATTACATTATAATAGGTAAGGTTTAAACTGTTACTATGGAATAGACTATATATATATACATAAGTATAATGAGTTGTTGTGGGTTGTGTTATAATGTGTTTTCCCATGGGAATGAGATAATCTCCCGAAGTAAAAAGTGGTCTATGACAATCTTCAGCCCTCCAACTATCTCCACACAAAAAATCACGCCAATCCATCACTCTGTTTCAACTTGATGGTTGTCAAGTTGATTTATAATATTAGTATAAATAATTATGTAGATTTGTTTTTGAATAATAGAAAATCACTTTAAACTCATATGAAAGTATTGAATAAATTTTAAAACTTACCAATGTCTACTAATTCGAGCTTCGCTTGGTCCTCACTGAATCCAAGAAGAACTGATTTATTATTTTTTTCAAACACCTTCAATGATAATAGTCCATTCCAGTAAGCAATGGATCTCGTCAGATTTGAACTGGCCAAAGACACTTTGACAACTGGATCTAAAAATAATAAAGAATTCTTAAATCCAATTCATATACAGTGAAGATATCTGAAAATATTATAAGTGACACAGTGAACTTGACATTGTTCAGCGTATCTATACTCATAATATAATAATATGTAACAATACAAAAACAATAAAATAAATTACAATAAATACAGCTATTATCTCGGCATGTACTTGCATTAAACATTTCCAACAAACCATACTTAATTTGGCATGAAATTATTTAAAAGAATAAATAAATAAATATGTTGGGGACCTTAAAACTGCAACATCTAGTTCCACGTTAAGCTATGAGGCTTGTGTTATGGATACCAGATAGTTGACACACTACACATATATAACTATAAATACATACATATTATACAAATAAACACCCATGACTGGAGTACAAACATTCGTGCTCATCACACAAATAAATGCTCCCAGCAGGACTCGAACCCACAAATCGGGTCACTATAAACTGAGCCAAACATGTTGTCAATAGAAACAGAACATTTTATTTGCTTGTTCATTATACATACATCATTTTATTATGTGTTATGTAATTAACAAAAGTATTTGTAGCTTTGAAGGGAAAAGGTGATTTTAAAGAGAAAGTAGTTTATCTAAGTGAATGAACCTATGCGAGCATTCTGAATATTTTTATCTCTTCATAATAAGATAAACACTACAGATGTAAGTAAACAACTAAAATAAAAACATACAATATTTATATTCACATAGTAAAACATGTCTTAAAATTTTGTCCGAGACATTATTTGAAGGACAAAGTAGGTATTCATTTAAAACATGCAAACATTTGACTTTTAAATTCTACACATTCCAAAATCTATCCAGTCTTATTTTTTTTAGAAAAATTAAATTTTATATTTAACAATATCAGTTATATTTGCATAACAAAACCATACATACAGTCACATGATCTAAGAATATGATAAAATTTTCCAATGCAAAGATAAAATTGTGTTGGCCATATCAATAAGTATAAAATTAGACTCATATTAGCTATCAACCATTGTTGCTTAGTGGTATATGCATGACTAGCATTATATACTTTGCTAGAAGTTTCAAGTTCAATTCCTATGGCACAAATATTTGTTATAATTATAATATCTAACATATGCAGTAAAATGAGAATAATACAAAATTATTTGTCTGTTTTTATTCTTATGTTGTTTATTAATAATAATACTTGTGTACTTTAGTTAGCTCTACATAATACTGGCTGATAAAACACTCTTATATCACTTATTATTATTGAACACTTTAGTTGATGACTATTGAAAAACTTTCAACAATTTAACAAAGAAAATACATTAAACAAATACATTATGATTGTTTCGTGGGAATAGTTTATTCTTAGATAAAATCTAAAATATTAATGAAATATTTTTCTTATATTTTATTTTAAGCAAGATCTTTTAATATATTGTAATTAGTTACCTTTATCTACAGGCTGAGGTTTGTCAATAATATAGAATTTGTAACCACCAGGGGCTTCAACATATTTCAATCCATTATGTTCCTTAATAGGCCAATTTGCTGCTTGGGCCCTCTTTAAGCTCTCACTCGACTGGATTGTTAATCCAAGAAAATCATTTCCTTGTTCGTAATATGTAATTCCATAGTTGTAAGTTAATTCTACAACAAAATGTGTATCTTCTGGCCCATAACCAATCATGGTTTTGCTCCAACGGTTAGCATAAGGCCTGAAAAATATAATAGTATTTCATTGAATATTCAATATATTTCTAAAGATATGAAAAAAATAGAATCAGAAGTGAGAAGAAAAAAGCGAATTTTCATTAATATCTATATTTAAAACTTACCCATTACAGGCTGCTTCACAGCCTTCACTAAACTCCTCATGACGTAAAACCTGAAAGTAAAATTAATAAAACATTAATTTGAACACTGATCACAGTGCATCCCAAAATATATTAAGTATATCCTTAAACAGCTTTCTACATTCCATACAATAAAAAGGATGATGTTGGTAATATTAAATAGTAAATACATTAATGCCCGATTTCACCAACAACCCATAAGCTACCACCTACGTATGGGATCCCTAGCTTAAAAGTCCCCTAAACTAGGCCCTAAATTAAATTTCGTTTTGCGATCGTCTTTAAGCCCATATTTCGAGCACCTAAATTTAGGGGGCCTTTTAATATTTAGGTGACCCCTAACTGTCGGTGAAACAGAAACTGTCCCCTAACAGCCCCCTAACCATGCTTAGGAGATCCCTTAATTAAAGTTAGGTGACGTTGGTGAAATCGGGCATAAGAATTTCAAGAAAGCTATCTCAAGAAAATGAAATCATAAAACTTTTCCACATACAATAAGTATGTCCTGTCATTCATAATATGTAAAATAATGTAAAGTTATTAAATATAGTACACTCATTAGTTCCAGAAGGTAATTACGGCATTCTGTGACCTTGAATATAGTTGTCCGACCGGCTTTATGCATTTTTTCAACGATAAAATTACTGAATATATAAACTTCAAAGGTAGTATTTTTTAATATATAAAATTGTAATTTTCTTACCTTCATTCCAAGTATTTCCCTGTAGAATTTAGCTGTAAGAGTCCTGTCAGCTACTTTAAAAACGAAATGTAAAGCCCGACCGTTAATCATGTTGAATTATTTAATTTTATTAATTTCTAAAGAAAACGATTGTTTAATTTGCAATTTGTTTAAAAGTATTAAGTTATTGTTAATTTTCCTGTAACACCGCTACACCTATTCGCAACACGACTGACGACACAAATACTTTTATTTGTCATTCATGACATATACCTTTAAAATGGATGTTTGTCATCCATGACAAATAAACACAATTTACAAATGTCATTTGTCAAATACAAAGTACTGAGTAGTGAGACACCGCATCGAAACTAACTCTGTGAAACTAGTCGATAAAAGTTACTCGAGACGAGGATGAAAATAATTTAAGACAATAATATAAAAAATAAAAAATAGCATTCAGTAACATATGGTGACTACTTTAATTTATAATTGTAAGCGTTTCAGAACTTTAATTAATTATAATAAGAATCAATCTAAAAAGTATTCTAGACAAACGTCTACGCACGTGAAATTGCATCCTTGTGATAAGATTATAAAATATTACGATAAGACAACATACTAAGTATAATAAATATTGTGAGTTTATTGACAGACTATTGTTGTTTCTTCCTATTAATAATTGGTAAATTAAAAAAAATATTAAGTATTCTGCGTTATATTTTTTTTATATTTTGTACTTCCTTTTTATTTTCCCTAACTAAATGAATTTAAGTTACGATACACACTTCAAACATTGCAGTTTTTCTTAAAAAATGTATTCCACGTGTTCAGTGACTTATTATGTCGTAATACGTATCACGCGAAAAGCGTGTGTCACCTAGACCTAGACGTATGTAAGCCGAGATGTGTTAAGTTTGAGATTACGTATCTAATGCAGATATGTAAGTATTTGCTTGCGGAGGGATTTGTAACACGTTACCTATATATATATGTATCACTACACCATCTCGTGTTAAATTCTCTACTTGCACTTTTATACACAAATATAAATTCGAGTAAATTAAATCTTCACTTATTTATTTTTTTGTCTTGTGCAAATTATTTTTTGTTTTATTATATACTAGTCTAAAAAGTAACGTGTAGTTTAACCGGCAATATAAGGTATCAGCATGCCAAATTTTACTAAATTAGGTGCATATGTTGTTGTGTACTAAGCTGTATAAGTTACTATAGATTTTTAACTATCCCACGAGAAATCTCTGATTTTCCAGGATTAAAAGTATCTAAAATGTTGACCGAGGATATAAAGTACCACCATTCAAAATTTCATTTAAATCGGTTCAACAGTTTCGGAGATTAGCCCGTACAAACAGACAAACAGAGACACAAAAAATTGAAAAAGTCTGGATTTGTTTATTTCTCTTCTTACATCCCCCTGACTCGCTTTTTTTATATGTTCTATATATTTTTGTGATCACTTCTAGAAAACCTTCATTTTGAAATACGGTATTTTGATATGTATGCATCATTAAAATCGGTTTAGCCGTTGAGTAATTACACTCCTTTCGAGTCGAGTAAAAAGAAAGTAAGAATCAGTCAGACAGATACCGAAAGATTACTAGTAATTTTGTATAGTCTAATAAGAAAATTTATTACTTACGTTGGTCCATTATTTCCTTCTTCTTCTTCTTCCGTCCTTTCTGCTTTCGACTAATATCAATAAATGTTTCTGTTATGTACATTAGTTGAAAGCGGAATTAGTTGAATCTTTTACTTTTCGGTAAATACCTGGTGTTTAGGTAAAATTTTGACCTAAACACCAGGACTTCATCCACATGGATAAAGTTTCCCTCCTCTGTTCTTCGCTAGAAATATCACCGTAGTATAACTAGTGTTGGTAATACTTACATCAAAGTCGCACACTTTTCATACTCCGCAACGTCGATCTCAAATAGATATAAGTAGAATTGATTGAACAAATTAATAAAAATAATAAATAAATATTGCAAAATGACTAGTATTATATTAGTCTACCTTAAATATTATTTTACTTAAATTTTTTTACCTTTATTATACAATAAAAACAGAATCTTCATTTGTTTATTTACATAATAGGTCACTATGTTTTATTGTCCATTATGCATAAAAAATTTGTGTTTGATGATAGTAGACTTCACCAGAGATATATATATATATATATATATATATATATATATATATATATATGATTATATATATATATATATATATATATATATATATATAATACACGACCGTTTTATGAAACATACATAATATAAACAATGTACGTCTTTCATTTTTGGTCTTTTTCTGGCTTGATCATTTGAATGTAGATGAAAAAAACAACACATTATAATCTACCGTAGTCGCTGGCCCATGAAATAAATAACTAGAATATATCTCTAGATATTGCCAAAATATGTGGAGTTCTCTCTACGTAATTACCCATGATTTATATATGAAAATATATTTTTTGAGATTTTATAAATAAAATTTTATATCACCATGTTAGGTCTATTAAGACATTAGTATTAATAACCTCATCAAACAGTGCGACAATAGTATATAAAGAGATATTCATAATCCATTCGCTTTTTCCCTTTCGTATACAAAAAAGATACTGTGAAATAATCATTACCGATTTAGTCTTTATTACTATGGCGTTTTATGGCATAAATTGTTGCGAGAGTTTAACCCACAAACTGTAGAACTATGTAGAACATGTCGACAGAACTGATATTTAAGTCTGTATTAAGCAAATTAACCAAACAAAACGACATACAGCATGATAAAAAGAAATTTGTTATATTAGATACCTTATAGACTTAGACACTAAATGAAATAAATAGCGATAGAGAAAATATAAAGGAGGATTGTGGGTAATTTTACCTGTATATGTTTAATTGGGTAATCAAATCCACGAATCAATTCATCCACATAAAAACTACATATAATTTCATACAGAAATACGATTAAATATATTTTCTCTTACATCTAAACTACAATCATAATTTCGTGGTAATATTTTTTTTTTACATTTTCCCATAGTATGCAATAAATAGTAATCTTATATAAATCGTACACAGATAAGTACTACGATCTCTATTGTTTCTGCTAGTCTGTAAATATTATATCTTACAAGTTATATGATTAAATTTATCAGGTATACCGTTATTCGGGATATGATAGGCAAAGCCATTGTTCGTCTAAGATTCCTCTCCGATAGAATTATAGTAATTTTATTACAAAAATAGCAGCAACTAGGTGTTAGAGTACAGTACTAGGTCGTTTTTTACCTCGTTATCGTATATAAATTAACAATCATTATACAAATATTATAGTAACAAATTTATCAATGAATAATAGTAACAATTTTAAATGACTAGACTCAATCTATTATGATAAAGCTGAAGAATTAAATACATATAAAAAATAAAATGTTTAAAGTTATATGGAATGTATATAGTGAATACATAGTTCCTGCAACATTTGAAAATTAATGTAAGAAAATTAAATAAAAAATAGGTAGGTCTATGTATTAATATAAAACATTTTGTAGTTGTAAAAATTAATAGGTCACTATGTAGACACCTGATAAATTGACTATGATGATCCCTATAATGATAGCTTAAGTTTTTGAATATTATAAATACTTAATAGGTACATTTGCTTAAGAAAATACGTTAATTTTGTAGGCTCTCTGAAGATATATAAATATTTTTTATTTTTACAGCATTACGAGAAAGTTAGAATTATAAATTAAGTACACTCAGATTAAAATTGTAAATAAGTTTTAAATTATCGCTTTCATTTGCGTACATCAATGAAGTAGACACGTAAATACATTGATAATATGAATATATTTTTTTAAATAACATTGTAGCATTAAGCAAAAGGAATAATTCTACTGCCCAAGTTGAGAACCTTGTATAAATTAAGAAAGTTTCGATTTATTTCGAACGGTATAAATAAATTATCTATAGTATTTTTGAGCTATGAGCTTAAAATATTCATTTATTTTATAAAAATACTCGATTCTCAACCTGGGTTTAATAAACATTTCTGAACGATAATACGATTAACGTAACTTTCTAACCAGAGTCGGCTCTAGCGTTAGTGTTGCTAGTTTATATTAAAAACCATAAAATAAGACATTAAATGCAAAGCACTGTATGTATGTATGTATAATATTTTACATGTGCAGTAGTTATCACTAGAGCCGACGCTAATATTTTTATATCTAAGTAACAAGGTTCGCGCAAGCCGGTGTAATTAGTTGGGTTTCTCCTTGTCGTTGCCATCCTTCTCTTTCTCCTTTTCCTTTTCTTTCTTTTCTTGTAATTGTTGCAAATGCGCCGGTAAAGCCTTAAGTATTGCATGTACCTATCAATGTAAAATATTCGAGTTAGCATACATTAATATTCATAGATTATTTTAAACTTGTAAGTACGTACTTATCAACGAGTGGCATTTACATTTTTAAATTACAAATGACCAAATTGTATGTGCCTTAAAAGTGTAGGTACATAATTAAATAATTTAAGGCATTGATATCGCTGAGTTTTTTTGATTAATCGGTTTCGATTAATCGGTTGTAATTTTATGGTTTTGGTTGGTGATCTTTAGCCATTAGAAAATGATTTTGAGGATATCATTTTCTTGAATTGCATGGACTATAACTCAAAAGTCCCATTTAATTACTCGTTAAGATTGCATCCCAAGACTTGCGATTATCATATTATAATAAATTCTGTACCTCTTCAGCGACTGCCATCAGAACGAATTCGAACTGTTGTTTAGTGGCGACGGTGCGAGGGCGCTGGTCACGGATATGCTCGAGGGTCGCTGCGATGTCTATCTCCTTAGCGCCTTTGGCCATGCGGTTTAAGACCATGTCTATCAAACAATAGGTGCCCGTGCGACCAGCTCCATCACTATAACAATAAAAGATACTTTAATTATTTGTGGCCTAATAAAATAATTTATATCAGATTTAAAATATCTCGTGTTCATATCACCTCTTAATCAAATGGACGTAGGAAATAGTGTGTACCTATGCGAATCAATTCAGTGCACGAAGTTTTTTATATTCCTATTATTTTTATTATTAATTAAAAATTAATGATAACTTATAAATTTTGTAACAATTAATATATTTCCTCCGACAATGACAAAGGATGAGATAATGAAAATAATATGCAAATATCGTGATAAAAAAGAAAGAAGTGCGCAGTAAAGCCAAGTATACATTTACTAACCTGCAATGAACTACGATTGGACAAGATCTTCCACGGTAAGACTTATTCACTTTCCTGAAAAAAATAAAAACAAAAATGTATGAAATCTGAGTGATACCACTCATTACTAATATTATTTGCTATATATAATAACGGTTAAAATATTATAAACATACATTTTTATTGAATAAATACAATATACAGCTGTATGTAAATCTTAAAGCTCTACCTCCTAAATTCGAGCAGAGCCTTAGTAGATGACGGTACTCCATTCTCAGGCCAAGAGAGGAAATGGAATTGTGTGACCGTTCGTGTCTCTCCAGTGCGCTGATTCTTTAAATAGAAACTTCGGACAAGATAGTCGTCACACCAGATATGTTGGCTTACCAGGTGCACCTAAAAAGAAAATATCCATTAGGTAATAGGTCCATTAGGTAATAGGTAGGTTTGGCGACACGTTTGGCTCAGTGTGTAGTAACCCTACTTGCGGTCGCGGGTTCGAGTCCCGCTGGGGGCATTCATTGTGTGATGAGCACAAAAGTTGTACTCCAGTCATAGGTGTTTATATTTATAATATGTATGTATTTAAAAGTTTATATATGTGTAGTGTATCAACTGTCTGGTATCCATAACACAAGCCTCTTAGCTTACCATGGAACTAGATGGTGCTGTGTGTTAATGTCCCAACATATTCATTTGTTTAGGTAAAGTCAAATTAATAATTGACAGAACTGCTTAATTTTTAATTGCTTCGGTAAAATTTTCACAACTTCTATTTAAAAAATTAATATTTTATTTAATAATATTATATCTGTAGGGTTTTTATTCAAGTCGATAACTGTTATAGAGTAGGTAATAAATATACCTACGACGTATATGTATTATGTACATATTTAAAAAAACATATTTATTTTAAAATACACAATTTACTAACCAGATAATATTTAATTTCTTAAAGGCAAACAGGATTTTTATTAATTTCGAGTTAAGTTTACATAAAAGAATTCTTTCTGTCAATTGTTTGAAAAATATTTGCGAAAGCTAACAAATTAATTTGTAATACTATAACGAGCTCTTCATTCTATTAAATATTTGAATTCACAAATTAGGTAAAGATACTTTCTACGCTTTTGCCGATGATGAGGTTCATTCAATTTATTATTCTTGATCTAATTTTGTTAGACATTGGCGAAGTAACCTGTACTCAACTGGAACGCTTTGAAGCCATTAACAACAAAACAGCGGCTTGCGGTTTATGTCAACAACGGCATAAATCGCAGTAATAGCGTAGCGTTTTCTAGAAAAAATATAAAGCTAATATGGATATATTCCTGTAGCATTTATACATACCTCATAAATGTGATAGAGCTCGGATCCCTCTTCAGGCCAGTATCGGTGGCACAGCTGTTGTCCATTCTCCGTAAGTCGGGTGAGCATCACCATGACCACACTACCTTGCTCCCAGACCAGCTGCCAGAAGTCGGGCGCGGTGTGCTCCAGTGGTCCAGCAGCTGCGATGTAGGCAGGGTTCCGCGGATCGTGGTCAGTCTAACGGGAAGTCCAAATTGATTGAAATATATAATTATTACATTTTCATTTTTTTGAATGAGACCCTAATTCTTATTCTAAGATAAAAGTAGCGTCACTGCTTTAACATCAGCTATCTGCCAGTGAAATTCCTGTCAAAATCAGCCCAGCCGTTTTCTAGATTAGCCAGAACAAACAGACAGATAGACAGACAAAAATATAAAAAATTGTGTTTTTCTTATATGTACCGTATATAATATATTTTATATGCATTTAGTAAAAAGCTGTTATTTTGTAATTACAAACAGACCCTTCAATTTTATTTATCTGTATAGATATCAAAGATGTATAGATATGGGTGTTTAGATGTAGGTAAAGATAAATGTAATAATACTAAGTTTCAAGTTTACAAATTATTATTGGTTTTCGTAATATTTTTAAATTTTTATAATTTATTATGAGTATAAGATATAACATATGCCTGATAATACTTAACATCTTTTCTTCCTTATTAACCGTTTCCCTGTCCCATGAGTCATATATGAACATTTCGATTGTTTAACTATTGTGTCTATTTTGCGGACAGTTAATCTGTTAATATCTGCCATAAAAATGGTCACAAACTCCATCCTAAAATCGATCTCAGTATTTAGTGCTATAATAATAATCTTTTATATAGTTGTATTATAATAGTAATCTATTAATGTTGTAATATGTGATGGCAAATTGGCATGACTATTTCTTCAAATCAACATTTTAAATAATATGCTCATGCTACTGGAAAAGCGATAAAACTTTTTATTAAGGCTCGCTCGATAAATCACGGAGTAGACATCTATCTATTCATATAATAAAATTGTAACTAAGCCGAATCTGTACATTAAATGTCTTTTGGAAAATCTTATTGAAATAAACATTATTATCGATACAGAGGCCGGATCTATATCTAGTTTTTAGAATTTTTGTCTGTCTGTCTGTCTGCCTATTACCGCATCACAGAAAAACCACTGGAGGGATTTTGATGAAATTTGGTATAATGATAGCTGGTTATCCGGGTCAACATTTAGGATACTTTTTACCGCGGAAAAATATCTCATTTCTGAGAAAAAATACAAATACTGCAATATAAGAGTATACTAATATGTAAAACCTAAGAATTTGGTTATTGGTCACCTGAACGCGGGCGGAGCCGCTGGCAATGCTAGTATTAATATATTTCACTCACAATAGTTGAAGCATTGATGTAATCAGATTCGAGATGGTTAGACAGGGAGTTCAGGGTCACCCTAGAATGGTCATATGGTAGTATATCAGCATAGCGGTTCTTGCCGGTGTTCTCGGGTTTCAATGCGGCGGTAGTGGCGCATGGCTCAGCTTCATATGCACACAGAGCTCGCCATTCTTGCTCTAAACGGTCCTTGTTACGGAGATGATCTTCCATGTAGGCCTAGAAGATTATAAGTAAAGACAACTTTTACATATTTGTGGAGGAAAATTTTATGTAGTAGCTGTTTTCAAAACTAAAGACATGTTATAATTACTATATGCTTTACTGTGCTTAGGGTATCTAGTTTGATTTTGAATTTTGTTGTGTGATTTTACGGTAAGAATAGGTCTGCAGATTTGGAATTTTATCTTAAACTTTTAATATATACCAGATTTTAATTGAATAGTCTTGAAAATATATAACGGTACACTCACAAGAACCATGTGCCCAGTGGAAATGTCCATGTTGGTAAGAGCCGGTTCTTCGCTCCTGTAACAAAGCAAAATATCATAAATATTTATAGTAATATTATAGAAGTCTATAATGTTTTTTTTTTTTTGAGAAATTAATTCGTAAACCGTAAACTTCTGGTTCTAAAAATGCTGGTCAGTGGCATTTATTTTGAATAATATAAAAGTAAGTAAGAGGAGAAGGCATTTCTCAATTAGGGTTCTTCAATTATAAGAATTTCTTAATTATTATTTTTAGTTTTAACTTTAATTTGCTTTATACCAATTTTGCCTTGTCACTTGTGCTCTAATTTATGTTATATTTTTAAGTGGAAACTTCGCTGGTTTATGTATTATTTATATCTGATTAATTCTAAGTATTATTGTACTGTATGTTTCCCAAATATTAAAAAAAAAATTGGGTGTAAGTTTAGTTTATTATATTTTTAAGTCGCCTATTATTGACTGATTTTCTCTTAAAGGCAGTTTTAGATAGACTTCAAAAATAAAGAAGAAGAAATTCCATCTCTAAGGAAAGAATTGTTACTATCACTTTTAAGATGATTTTGGAGTTATATGATATTTTTTACCAACCCTTTTTACTTGGTGCGGTATAAAAAAGTTTTAATGAAAACTCAAAATAGTGATATTTTATGAACCTGCAGTCACGTGTACATTTTTTTCACTTAAGTACATAAAAATATTATATTTTGTACATATTTAGAGCTTTTGATTAGATAATTATCTGGACAGTCAGAAAAAAGTACAATGATATAAAAAAATGCTTACCATGACGAAGTACTAGAGCGAGTTGATGGTGAATTGCCATCTGGTTCCCGGGATAGCGAAGTGATCCTTTGCGGTGGTTCAGTTGGGTGAGAAGGCGCGGCAGTCGTCTGTTGTCCCGACCACTTGCCAGACATACGAGCACGACACAGTTCCTAATATAATCCAAACTAAATATGATGTACCAATAGGTACTTTGCCGTTAAAATCTACTTTTTAATCAAGTCTTCCAATGTGTACGACATGTGATGCACGTTGAGCGATAAAATTATAGTTTTTTTTTGTATGTTGAAATGCTTCATCTATGAATAAATTGTGACTGTGTTTTAAAGGTTTTAAAACACTGTTTTTGACTATTGCTATATATTTTATAAAAATTAGTGGAACAAAAAGTAAAAAATGCTGAGTATGTCTTTATAATCTGTTCATACCTGATAGTCTCTGGTTGCTTCAGCATCAATTTCGGCGGCAGAGGCTAATCCTTGCATCTTTCTTTTAGAACTCATATCGCGTTTGAGTAGCACCGCGAACACTACCGCACCAATAATCAGAACCGACAAACTGCCCACGAGCGCCAGAAGTACTGGTAATTGTAAGCCAAAGTATTGGGGTTCTTGCACATCAATATGGTGAATGACGGTGTGCTTAGTCTGGAATGGTATTTCATATTTTTACACAGTTTTATTAAAAACGTAATATATTATGTCAGAAAAGATTCATACCCTATCACCTATACCAATAGATTTAATTTGGGCGCCTGTTTCTTTCCATACTTTGTCTTTTATAGCATCTGAAATGGAGAGATGGAGATATGTATAAGTAACATATTTGTTTATTTATCTTATTACTAATTCATTTTTTCACACAATTATTAGTTACCAATCTGTCGACCAACTTCTGCTGCATCATATCCTTTACTATTTTTCTCGACTTTAAATGTCACTTCGCTTGGATCGACTCTGTAACATAATTTTTATTTGACAATGATCTGAAGTTGGTGCTAGAAAATAGCTATAAACAATAGTGACAAAAGATTACCGAGGATTTGTAAAAGTATCTTTGTCTAAGCCCAGCATTTCTTCAAGTCTTGTAATAAAAGCCATACCAGTCTCCCAATTCGTAAGGAACCTAAGGTAAAAATTAGGCATCGTTGTTATTAAAAAGTTTAAATATTTATTGAAAACTTTACAAGCATAAATATATTTTTGGTCACCAAAAAACTTTAAGCTCTATTAGACAGCGAAAAATAACTAAGCACTATTATAAAAATACCACAAAAGTACCTATTGTGGAATTCAACGAATGCATAGGACGGGTCATAATCATAATCATTGTGATCATGGCCAGACGCGCCCGAATTCTGTTTATTAGCAGCATCTTGAGCTGAAAGGAAAATCAAAAACTTAAGTTATGCTTGAAAAAAAAGTTATTAGCTCCAACACCAATAACAAAATAAATCGAAACCATGCATTTTTTTATATTTTATGATAAATCTTTACTTTTCATAGTATTTTGATAGTTATTCTTTATAAATAGTAAAGTAGATACGATTACGGTTCTCATCTCTTAAAGTTCTCATCTTCATAAAGTTTAAATGAATTATTTCATTTGAATATCTGAATTGTTTGAGTATAAAGATTGAACTTATATTTATTAAATAATTATTTATTTCAAGCATAATTTTATTCAAACCAAAGCAAAAAATTTGCGTACGACATTATATGACACCAAAGCTTAGATTATTCTTATTTCACGATAATATATGCACATAAAAAACAACGATTGCACTTTAAAACAATATCTCTCAAGCTATAAATAATTCAGTCAGGATAAAATAGATATTTTTCATGTAGTGTTAGCGTAGGAAATATTACAATAGGATACATACATTACATAAACGAAAAAATAGGTGAAAAGAAGAACATATAAGGAATAAAAATAAATAAAATACACCATTTAGTGATAGGAGTACGATAGTCTCATGCGCTGTTCGTAATATAATAGAGTGGTGCTGAGGATAACATTAAGTGCGGACATTCTAGGTACGACGTGGCAGTGCATTAATTTAGAAAATTAAAACGATTTTTGTTTATTTTGGACGCATGGTCAGCGCAAACTGTAGGTAAACCAATATAGGACACATTGAGAATCTAGAACAGTTATCTCAGGCCGTCGTGACACTAACCTGTCACCGAATTATTGTTGCGCATTAGTTTTAATGTTTTCGCGTCCACACGCGGCCCGGGCTTTTTAACATCGTCTCTTTCCCTACGTTTAAAGCCCCAATCTCTATAAGGCAAATCCCTGTCAATATCTTGAAAATCTTCCGATATAGAAAATTCGGAATTTTCACCTGAAACATCGTCGGTATTTGTAACAGCTTTATTTCGTTACATTTGCACTATCGAAACCTCACGTTCGAATTCATTGTGTTTAGGATAACAAAAAATAGAAAACAATTTCAAATAAAAAGGTTTATAAAAGTATATAAAGCTGTACATATTTGTCAACAAGATTTAGGATTTGACTGTAGAGAGTGATTCAGTTCTAACGTGGTGCCTACAAAAAATAAAAATATAACATAAAATAGATCTTCCATATATTTTTTTATATTTAGCTCACCTTGTAATTCGTCTGGTTTTAAAGGACCGCCCTCAGCGTACAAGCCGCCTTGTGTGTTTAATTTTGATCCAAATAACTCACGCCAATAGTTTATTAAATATTCCATGTTCTTAGAATTTTTAGATTTCTGCTTAGGCATATCTACAAAAATATTTGTATAAAAATATTTTAAAGTCATATCCATAATTGTATCAATTATTAATTATTTTATATCGAAGGTTTTTACGTAAATACCTTTTGAATGGTATGGGTCCAGTTCTCCGCTACCCGCATCTATAGGTAGATCTTCAGCTCCATCATCTTCAAAATAAATTCTTTGTTCCTGTATGTCGCCTGGGTTTTCGTATTCAAAAGGAAAATTTTTCTCTGCAAAGCTTTGTTTATATTTTTCTAATGCATTTGATCGAACTTCAGCGTCTAACGGCGAAAATCTGTTAGCAGTTAAATACTCAGCAGTAAAAGGTGGCGGTTTAAACTTAACTTTGCGGAAATGAGCTCCTAGGCGCTCTTCGTCGGGAAACTCATTCTCTTCCGTAGCTTTTTGATTAGATTTTGTTCCTGCCAGGGATTTTTTTTCTTTATCTGCAAATGCTTCGATAATATGAGGTTGTCCATCCGAACCCTTAGCCTTTTCTTTAGCTTGAAGACGTTCTCGAAAACCTTCAAAAGGCATAATAACTGGAGAATCAGCAACGCCACTCATGAGCATTAAATCACGTATTTTGTCACTTGGATTTTCTTCACCTTCGCCTATTTGTTCATTTTCCATAGGTATTTGTACTGCTATAAAATATATGCTATTAAGAACACGCCAGCTCTACATGTACCATTTCTCTTCATTTACAGTTTATAAATTTTTAAAGGTTTGCTTGGTATAAATAAATAAATATAAAAATGTTGAATAAAAATAGATATAATATATTATTCTAAAATAAACAAAAATTATTACCTTTGGGTACTAAATATGCTGATAGGTCTTCGTCGGGAATAAGTGGAGGATTGTAAACTTCATTTGCATAGTCCGAGTCTGCGATTTGGGAATTCGGGGTAAATCGTACGTACGCTGTTTCATCCGGGTCAACCTGAATAATATAATGTTTAGAGTACAAAAGATGTTAAGAAGGAAATATCAAACACCTTATTATATTAATAATATTCTTACATCCAATACTTCATCTCCTTCACCAGTTGGGGCCGAATTTATCTTAGGATCCGCAAAGTGATCGCATAACTTGGAATTAACATTTTCAGGATTCCTAAAAGAGAGTTAAATATTTTTGTACAGTAGTAATAATTACCTAAATATAGCTTCTACAACTAATTAATAAAAAATAACTTACATGTGATGACGTAAAGCGTAAAGCATGCTTTGCAGTACACATTGGGTATACGCGTGCTCCCAGCGGTACCCACGAGTCGCCAGCTGTTGGAGCTCTCTCTCGAACCATTGCAGTTGATTCGAGCCCATGTCATATCTGCATTATAAATAATCTTTGTTACTTCTTATAAAAAAACACTGTTTACTGAAAAAGACTAAATAGCAAGACAGATATTTCGTGCAATATGTAATGTACGAAGAATTTAGTATACATTCCAAGGAAAAAGAAAATATATATAAGTTATCGAAATTCGGACACAATCATTATTTTAATTAATACGGAAATCGATTGACAAATGTGGAGAAAAAGGTACTGAACTTATATATATATTAATTATACCTACGTATAACTTTCAAAGTGGTAAACGGATACTCACTGGTAAAGAGACCCTTCTTCAGGATCGTTGTCATAAATCGGTATACACTTTCCAAAAGCAAAATCTATAAAATATGATGATGAAATGGATTAGTATAACAATTTATTAAACAATACACAATAAATTTAATTTTATTATAATTTCTACTAAATAAAAATACTATTGTGATTTGTTAACTTACCATCATAGCACCACTCCGCTCCCTCAATACAGAGGGACGGGCTAAACAAGCAACCTAAATGAGAAAAGCCAATTTAAAATCTTTTAATTTTATATTAATATTTTAATTTTTGACGACATGTTGTGCGCGTGTGTGTCGCGGGATCGAGTCCTGCTGGGTACATACATTTGTGTGATGAGCACAATTGTTTGTACTCCAGTCATGGGTGTTTATATTTATATGTATGTATTATAACTTATAAGTTATATATGTATAGTGTATCAACTATCTGGTATCCGTAACACAAGCCTCGTAGCTTACCATGGAACTAGATGATGCTGTGTATTAATGTCCCAACATATTACATAATATATATATTTTTTAATGAATTAATGATGTAATACCGATAAAATGTATATTCAGTTTTTTTCATCTTAGCCCTATAACTATAAATAAATTTAACCTTTTTCTTGATTCAGATAAAACTTAATATTATCGATAGTTATCATAGTAAAACGCAAAATGCGTGAAGCTCGCCTAGCTTATCTTATCGCTTATAAATCTTACCTATGTTCCCATCGGCGTGCGAGGGCGCCAGCGTACAAAACAACGCCAGCGCCCATAGAGCCTGCCGCCAGCACATTCGACTCATTACATCTGTAACAATTGTAGAAGCCAGTCAGACCGCTTTAGAGTGGACAATGGCCATAATTTTGCTAACAGTGTTAATATTTTCATGCATTAGAATGTAGCCGACAATATTTTAAGATATGAATATCTAATAGGTAAATATGTGTTTCACGTATCGAAATATATTAGATTTGCTATGCATCGGCTGGCACCGACTTCGAAAATATCTGATTAGGTATCTATTCTAAATGAAAACCCCCGTTTAGTTATTTTTTACATTTTAGTGCCTGGAAGTCGGTTTTTTTTTTAAGTTTTTATAATTACCCCTACCACACAAATTCCGTTCAATGCTAATGTATACATACCGATAATAAAATTGTAACTAAGTCGAATCTGTACATTAAATATTTTTTGGAAAATCTTATTGATATAAACATTATTATCCGTACAGAGTCCGAATCTATAGTTTTTAGAATTTTTGTCTGTCTGTCCTTCTGTCTGTTACCGCATCACGAGAAAACCACTGGACTGATTTTCATGAAATTTGGTATGATGGTAGCTGGTTATCCGGGTCAACATATAGGACTTTTTACCGCGGGAAAATGTCTCATTTCTGAGAAAAAATACAAAAACTGCAATGTAAGAGTATACTAATATGTAAAGGCTGAGTATTTGGTTTTTGGTCATCTGAACGCGGGCGGAGCCGCGGGCAATGCTAGTCATTAATATAATGCTTACATCTTATGAGTTAGGCAGTAAAATAAATATTGTTACCAATGTCAAAAACATGAGGATGATTGATAGTTAAAATATGAAAAAAGGCTTAATCCTTTTAAATCGAATGAACTAGTTAGTGAATAATAATAATGTTTTTAAATCGGTTATTAATGTGATATTATTATACTAAATAACTTTACAAAAATGTATACAAAGAAATAAACAGAAAGATTAACATAATATATTAATAGAATGGGAGATTTTGAAGACGTCATAGAAAGTACAAAGTCATTTTGACGACACGTTTGGCTCAGTTTGTAGCGACCCTACTTTCTGTGCCAGCGGTCGCGGGTTCGAGTCCCGCTGGGGGCATTCATTTGTGTGATGAACACGAATGTTTGTACTTCAGTCATGGATGTTTATATTTATAATATGTATGTATTTAAAACTATATATGTGTAGTGTATCAACTATCTGGTATCCATAACACAAGCCTCGTCGCTTACCATGGAACTAGATGGTGTTGTGTGTTAATGTCCCAACATATTTATTAATATAATATTTTCCTTAACAGCTATTAAATCCAGTATCACATTATTATCAGAAAAAGAAAATTAGATTTAATTGGTCGCTATTATCTCCCTTCCTGCCCTACAAGGAAGGCAGAAGAAATAAAAGAAATCTAAAAATATCTAGCAAATTCTCCTTGGCAGTTAATTATACCGTAGGCTACGAATTCAGTTATGGTGCTTATTGCTTATCCCAATTTTCCATCAAATATTATTTTATCAATAAAATGACGAATGTTTTTTTCTAATTGTTTTTAGTCATCTTATGTAAATATTAATCTTTTTGTGGAAGAAAATTATGGACCCCGACCTTTATTTTGCGAAATTGTGAATTGTAATTCGCATATATTTAATGACTTTTTTTTACTTCTTGTAGTTTTTTTTTGTTTCCTTTATTATATTGTTATCAAACTTTATATATTTTCAATATATTACTCAATTACTAGTATGTATGTATGTATCCCTTTTTAACGTCCCACTGCTGAGCACGGGCCACCCTTACATACGAGGGGGATCAGACCATAGTCCACCACGCCAAGTGGCCAAGTGTGGGTTGGCGGACTTCACATGTCTTTCGAAAATTTGTTAGGTTCTCTCAGACATGCAGGTTTCCTCACGATATTTTCTTTCATCCTAAGGCAAGTGGTAATCATGTTGGAAATGATTTGCACATGAAAATATCAGAAGTGCGAGATCCGTGATTTGAACCCGCTTCACTCGGTTTCCCAAGCGAGCGCGGTACCACTGGGCTACCACTGCCCTGTATGTAGTCTAATATCCTATTTTTTAAAATATGATGCATATCTATACATGTAATAAAACTGTAGAGGTCGAATTTCTGTACATAGAAAAAAAATGCTAAAAACCGAGTCAGGGGGATGTAAGGAGAGAAATAGAACAAATCCAGATTTTTTCAAATTTTTTGTTTCTCTGTCTGTTTGTCTGTTTGTACGGGCTATTCTCCGAAACTGTTGGATCGATTTAAATGAAGTATGTTTTGTATGTATGTTCTCACTGATGGGCACGGGTCTCCTCCCAATGCGAGTTCACCACGCTAACCAAGTATAGATTAATATAATAAGATAATTTAATATAATACTTTAAAAATTTTATAAGTTCATTGTGAGTGAACGTAAGTTTTGATGAAAACTAACTTTCCTAATTTTAAAATCATATTTTAAATGTCACGATGTGACCTACATTGCAACTACGTGATAGTATGAAATATTATTAAAAAGTTCCGTTCTCGACATCATTGAGGAACTCTACAAAGACATCTATCTATACGTATATTAAAATTGTTACTAAGCCGAATCTGTACATTAAATATTATTTGATTTTTTTTATTGAAATACACATTATTATCGCTAACAGAGGCCGAACCTATAGTTTTAAGAATTTTTGTGTGTCTGTCTGTCTGTGACCGCATCACAGAAAAACCACTGGAGCGATTTTGAAGAAATTTGGTATGGTAATAGCTGGTCATCCGGGTCAACTAATATACTAATACGAGTATACTAATATATAAAACCTAAGAATTTGGTTTTGGTCATATTAACGCGGGCGGAGCCGCGGGCAATGCTAGTATGAAATAAAACACTAATTGTAGTGAATATCACGGAAGAGATAAATGTTGGGCGAACAGTGATTAAACTTGATGTATTTCCATTTAGGTTAAAGCCCATTGTTATCCAGTATTATATATCTACTGCTTTGTTTTTCCCAATGAGTAGGTTTAAAATATCTCTTTTAAAAAATCTATACATATTTTAAAATTTGTAACTGAGTCGAATATGAACATTAAATATTTTTTGGAAAATCTTATTGAAATAGACATTATTATAGAGAAGCCGAATCTATAGTTGTTAGAATTTTTATGTGTCTGTCTGTCTGTGACCGCATCACAGAAAAACCACTGAAGGGATTTTGATGTTTGGTATGATGATAGCTGGTTACCCGGATCAACATACATATAGGATACTTTTTACTACGGGAAAATATCTCATCTCTGAGAAATCTATACTAACCGTTAAAACGTAACTAGGGACGAACCCGAGCGAGTTAGGGTGAGCCGCTAGTATTATACCAAAAAATATTTGATATACATATTATATATATATAGTAATAACAATGTTTTAAAAAGCTCGACGAATATCTACGGATAAAATATTGATAAACTAATTTAAAAAAAAAGCAGATTTTCTTTATTATTAATGACGATTTGAAATACTTTGGATAAAATTAAATATAATAAATTACAAATTCTTAACGAACTTATGTAGCGCTTAGTAAAATTTTTAAAGCGAAAATTATATTTAAGTTAGCAGCGTCTATTTTTATCCTCCGCCGGGATACGAAGCGCGAGGTCTTTTATAGCCTCAGATATAATTATCAACATAAAGGCATTAATAAACATGGAAATTCTTATTATATGTCTATTTTAAACGAGAAATATCTTACAATTAAAGGCAAAACCGTGTAAATCTATAAATTGCTATGTTCAGCTCTGACGTACGTAGGCGTTCATGCCCTTTACCAGTAACAACCCACGCAAATGGTTGATCTGAAATGTTTTATAATCTTATTTTATAATTATTAAAAAAAAAGAAATGGACCGTTTAACAAGCCTATTATGTCATAAGATACAAAGAACTTAATCTAATTTATTTTAGACACTAAACATTAAATTTATCTTTTTTCCACAAATAAAGATTGACTATGCGTTTTAAAATAATAAAATTAACGAAAAAATCTTAGAGTTTTATGTTTAGCACATTAAAGTAGTTGAAAAATAAACAAATAATAACATTTTATTGATGCGACCAGTACGTCGTGTGCTAGTTTAATATACATTATGTATAAAACCACCCACCCTGGGTTGGGCGTATATTACAGAAAGCTTTCTAACTTAAGGGTTTATATACAACAAAAATACGCACCGTTTAGTACCGCAAATCAGTCCAGAACATGTCAGTGTTAAAATAGATCACTTGGAATCGCTTTGAGTTCTAAGACACGGGTGCCAGAGCGGGCTTCGCGGAAGGATGCAAAGCCGCCAGCTGTATACGAATCGGACCTGCGCACACTGCTCTATCGATCTTGCGCCCGTCCATTCACACGATGCCACTTTACCGCCTACATAACGATACGATCCGACTAGATGTTATACTTCAATCATCATTTGATAACGCGATATAAGCACGAGCTCTCAAAGCTTCTACACTTCAACCACATACGGGCTTAAATTGATTTCATTTTGGGAAGTGATATTTCTACTTGTTGCCCTAAAACTAGCAGCCAGTAAGATATTTCAGTCGAATTAAGTATAAATACTGAAATATTAGCGTTTGTTTGCTTAGTCGGGTCGGGAATGACGCCTGCTACTCGTACCCAACCTATAAGTTATCGTCGAACAGCGCTTCGCATGCTAATGACGTTGTAGCGATAACGACCGGAGGCGATACCCATGTACTCTACATACTTATTATACCATTATTATTTAGTGAACACAGGAAATAATAATCTATAAGCTTTAATATTCTCATTTATACATAATTACACAAATGCTGTCATGAATCTCTTTAAACTTTTAGCTTTATCATTACAAAGGTCTGTTTCGTGCTGATTTTATAGGAATATAATTATTAAATTATAAAAATTAAATGAAAAGATGGAATAATTAAATTATAAAAACTTAATTATGTATTTTTTAACCATAATACCGTATTATAAATAA